CACGGTAATAAGACAACAATTTGTCTTCCGACACAGACACAGTAAACTCATTAATCCTTTAGGAGAAACAACATCTCTATGGAAACTGGAAAGTTCCCTGGAAAAGCAAACACCCGCATGCACGTACATGCACATTTGCCTATTCCAAAAGTGCTTCTAAAATGCATACGGGTAGGAAGCAAAGCTTTCAGCTTTCACCTGTGAAAACATTGTCTCTTGCATAAAAATAAAAAAAAGCATTTGCAGACGATTTTTAAAAAACATTGTAGAAAATCTTTAATGCGCTGCATGCTAGGAATTCAAAACAATACGAGGCATCTCTGTAAAAGGGTCCAGAGGGAAATATCCACCAAGTCTGATATTCTCTGCTAGTCAGTCATTAAAGTGTGACTCACTGCTTTTCAGCAATGGTGCCTTCTCTAATCTCTCCGTCCCTGTAATAAGAGAACGAGCATCGCTGGGAGCATCAGATTCAGGGAGGGATCCTGTTTCTGTGCGTCTCTCATGTTGGGACAGGATTAGGCGAGGCCTGCTAGGATGAGTAGCTATCAGTCCTGCCAGCTAATTTGAGCCATTTGTCACATGTATGGACTAAGCCATGAGGAAAGAGGCCTTGGAGAGAGGATAAAAAGCGAGATGAGTCAGAGAGCATGTGAGTTTCATTAAGGAATATTTTCAAAGGGTATTTTTAAACACACCCAGGCGGCTTACGTGTCTCCCACCATGTGTTTGTAACTTGGTAATCTCTGCGGTTCAAGATTTTGACTTTTCCGGGATTTCCTTTATAATTTTAAGTATTAAACTCTAATTCTCGTGAGAAATATCGCAGTTGAAGTCCCTGCTTTCTAATTTTAGATGACTGAAGATGACATTTCCTCAATTTATTTCCAATACTTACCAAGATTTTGCCAGTTTTTTATTGATCCTGTAGTTCTTGCCCTTTAAAATCTACATTACCCACAAAACAAGCTGCTTACAGTTCAATCCAAAACTCCCTCTGTAGAGATTTAATTCTTTCTCTGCCCAAAATGCTAAACCTGTGTTGTTTTCTTTTGACCAAAGCACTTGAAGTAGTTCTTAAGAATTCAATAATGTGACTTCTTTAACCTGAAACCTCTAAATTCTCTCCACAAAGACCTTTAATAGGCCAGTTCTTTCCTGTAAAAGTTGTGAATGTGCATACGATTCTCCAGTCAGACTCTGAGTTTCATTTCTGCCTGTTGTGAGCCCGACCTAACTAAATCCTGCAGAAAACATGCAGTATTTCAAAACCAAAGTCATGTGAGCTTCCACACTTTTTGGCGACTGATCATCTCATGACCAGCTGGGTGAAATGTTTGCTGAAGATCAGCAGATATTTTTCTCCTTCGGGAGCTTACATTTGCAGCTGATGTCTGTCTGAAAATAAAAAATAACTAAAAGACCTAAAACACCTCCTCTGTTTATTGATTTATGGTTCAAACTCTCCTGCTACTTTTCACATAAATAGAATGTCTTATTTATCCCTAGAGAGGAAATTACTAAAAGTTCAGTTCAGAGACATAACATGAAACACAAACATCCTCAGGGACATAAATTTCCACAAATGCATTCGGGGGTAATATTTCAAAAGGCTCCATGATGGAATACAATGATACATTTTCCCTGGTAAAGAGGAACATGGTGTGCACACTTGGAGAGTTTGTAATCATCTACAGAAGCTGTTGTCTTAGGTAATGATTAACAGTTTAACCAGTTCAGTGAATATTTTGGACTTACAAAGTATTCAAAGACAAACAGTCCACTGGAACAACGTGTTCGTTCCCTAATCAGCGCCTCCAAAAAAGACGCTGAACTCCTTTCTCCAGTAGTTTCAAGCTTATTGATAAAAGTGTGAACATAATCTCATTGTTACAGAACAGCCTGTCATAATAAGTATCACTTAGATAAGAACAAACGCTCAGAAATTAGGATTGGTGCTGATTCAATCATTTTTATTTGCGTTATTTGCAGCAGAATTAATGACACGCCTCATGTTTCAGATGAATGGGGATCGAAAGTCACACAAACCTTTTAATACAGCCTACAAAGACTATTTTCACTTCATGCTGATTCAAACCCAGAAAAAAGCACACCCCATTCAACTCGGAGGATTTTCCTATTTTTAAAGTCATACACACATCCTCAAACAAACCAAAATACATGTCATACTGTGTCATTTCAGGGGTGAAAGCTGAGTCCATCCTCATTGTTTCCACAAGAATCACTGATGAACTGATGGAGGCCAAACAAACACTTGTTGCTGCCTATTGATCTGGGCAGGGTTTCTAATGTCATTTCCCGAACCATTTCGAGGTAATTATGAATCAGAGAACAAAGCCAATGGAAAAAAGTTGTCAATGTTTCCAGGAGTTGGCGTTTCAGCCGGTTCACACCGAGGTCGCACCTCAGAGAAACTGCAACAAACCCAGAAGCCTCTTTTTTCTTTTTTATTAACAGCTCAACAAAGGAGCGTTTGCAGAGCTTCTAGTGCAGATTCTCCTGGTGTGTTTGCACAGTTTGGATTTGAGTCTGGTGTCATTTGAATGCACTTTTATGGGCAAATACATCAGTCTGAATAGATCTAAAGAGTGTGTGCAGCCCCCACCTGTGTGTCCATCAGGTCCCACTGCAGGTGTGCCTCACATTTACCGAACTGTGAAGCTTTGTTTCGTGGCCCGTGGCCACAGATCTTCTGATCTTCGAGCACAAATTAGAGCGAAAGAGGGCTCAGCTTGTGTGAGGAGAAGAAACAGACGCACTGCCGGGACCCAAAGTCACAGGACCCAAGGACATCGCTGCCAGGATCTGGGCGCGGAGCTACAAAGCTGCTATTGTTGCTCCCAGAGGAACCCCGAACAGACAAATGACAAAGAATTTTAGCACCCGCCCCCCCTGCAGATACTGTACAAAAAGAAAGACCATGGCTTTTACGATTTTTGCTGTTTTCCTGTACCTATTCAAACCACTTATGGATGCTTGACTTGCATTTGTTGGATTCCGAATGAAGCAAAAGTCTTCAATTTTCCAAATTCAAAGAAAAAGCCGGAGATGTTTTAGGTGTTAAACTCAGGCTTCCTGTTATCCCACTCAAACGTAGCGCTTGCGTGCGACCTGTGATCTAAACGAAACCATTTCGTGAGGGTTATTTCCCACATTTTTCTCACCACCACAACTAGACCTGGTTTCGTTTTTTGTTAAACCTTGTGTGGGTTTAAAGAAAGTGTCGGATGAGTTGTTAGCGTGATGTGTGGGTGGTTCAGGATCTCTCCTGAACGAGAAGAGAAACATATCTCTGAGGGGTAGAGAGGCCCCTGGATCAATTTTCCTGTGTGTTTTGTTATAAGCTTACAACATTCAACCCATGTCCATCCTTGAAGGCACCAAACAGATAATGAAGGTGCCTTGGGAAACCTTTAGAGAGAAGTATGTACTGAATCTCACTCTCTTTTCGCATCTTCAGCTGCAGAAGAGGTCGGTTTTCATAGAAAAACCACCAGACCACACCTCCGAGAATCAAGCAGCATACAATGTTTTTTTTTTCTGCTGCACAGTTCATGTAATTTGGCATGAATGTGCCTAAAAATCCCCAAAAGGATGAAGTTAGAATGATAATATTTAGACTTTTTTAAATGAGATAAGCATATTTTACACTGTAGACAACACGATCTTTAAGAATGCTCTTGTGTGTAAGCTGTGGTTTAACTTAAGTTACCATAAATCTTCACATTTTGTTCCTTTATTCTGATTTTCAAGAATTTGTAATGAGGTATTGTGAGTCTGCCATTGGACAATGAGAGGATATCTCTGGTAACATCATGACTGCTTCAGTATTTAGGAAGTGAAAACATATTTTATCTCTCCAGCTCTGTTTGAAATATCCATTTTTGCTGATATAGAAGGTGACTAACTTCATTACAAGAGTTTCTGGGAGCAGGAACTGGAGTCCCTGTCTTGAAGAGACTAAAAGACACAAAGTGACTCATCCTCTGCATGTGACTGATGTTGTGGTTACTCTATGTTCCATGTTCGTGGTCTTTTATCTGGCTTCCTTATTTCTTAGAGTTTTAGGTTTACTCATCTGGCTTGAGCAGTATTCCTTTTTTTAGGTCCTCAATGTTTCGATTTGGGTTTCTTGCCATTATATAGATGAAAAATAAGGGTTTAATTTATTAATGATGTTTGAATATCTCTAATGGCAGATTGATTTCTTTCCTGGGATATGATGAGACATTAATGAGTTTAAGTGCTTTTCAGAAGAAAAAAACTCCCAGCTAGTCCTCACCTTTCAAATCTTATTGTATTCTTCAAACCTTTCTTTTATGTTGTGATAATTTAAGATACCACTGTGATATCATTGTGCTTGTTTATTTGACAGAGCAATAAAGCGGCAAAATGCCATAAAGCACTGTAACCTATGCACTTCGCTTTTACTACATTAATCATTTATGCCATCCTCTTTTGAAGTGGAGCATTGTTTTACTGGAAGTTGTGGGTGTTTGCGTGAGGCTGTGACCGCCCATGGTACCCTGTAGGCTGTGGTACTGTATCTCACACCATCTTGAGCCAAGGGTAGAAATCCTGGAGGGAATAAAGCGGAATATGCCCATAAACTCAGTAAAAAACTGCAGTCTATTCATCAGCCTTCGGGCCTTGCTCACAAGAAACAGGAAATTAGGGCACATGATACTTTTGCAACAGCCAGAACGGTTTCCATGAATAAGCATGTTCGGTTAAGAGAACCGTTATCTCTTTTGTTGCTACATTTTGCTCATTTCACCATTTAACACATCCTGTCCTTCGACTTTCCACATGACTGAAGTTAGACTTAGACTTAGTTCTAAGTTGTCCTTACAGAAAAACTACCTTTCCACAACAAAAAAAAACATGTCGTAAATCTGACCAAATGTTTCTTAACCTTTAATCCTTTCATTTAATTCCTGGACCTCAGTAACACACCTTTGGTCAAGCTTTGATTAAACCTGATACGCGAGTGGAGCCTACAGGTGCCGGCGTGTGTCCTGCAGACACCCTGGAGTGATCGCATACACAGCAAACAACAGCTCTCTGACCACCTGAGACTCCGGGGCAGACGGAGGAGACACCTGAGCCCTGGCAGTGCTCGGCCCGTTCACACCCCGCGCACAGTGGTCATCCTATCCCGTCTCATTAGCCTGAATAAGAAGCCTGGACTCTGCTCTGGTGACACACTGACCACCTCTAGTGAGGACGACCGTATTCATAGTCATGATGATGATCTGGGAGGAGACTTGAAGCATTCTGTTTGTCAAAAACAGCAAACCCGAGTGTGTCCGGATGCTTAATGGTTTGCACTCAGCTTTTGTTTGTACTTCCATGATTCAAGAATTCTGTAAACCGGGTTTATTTATGTTCGGTGGAAACTATTTTCAGCCGGAGTTTCGTACATACTTGGCGCGCCAGTATTTATGTCAGCGGGACAGTCCACGGGGGAATACCTCAAAATAAACTACTCTGAGATGGAGTCCTCCTCCACGGCCAGTGTCCTGTTTTTAGGAAAGATATTCAGACCAGTGCCTAAATCGAAGAAGTTCTCCTTCTTCTAATGGCAGCCTAGTCTGTGGTTTAGATCCAATGTTTTCATACTCAACGGTAAAACAGGCACTCGGAGACCTCTTTTGTTCTTGCACACAGTGACAAACTACATCTTATAATGGTTGGACGTGAGGGGTCAAACTGGCATCCATCCACGTAGAGTAGGCATCACACTAAAAATGCATTTTAGTATTTACTCTTTCCAGAAAGTGATTTTCCCCATAAAGGGTAAGTGGGTCCAGCTTTTCCTCAACCATCAATGAATAACCTTAACCTGTCACAAAGCTGGGTTTTAGACCCCAAAAAGTAAGGTTGAAGGCAGGGAAAATGTTACTTCATTTTTTTTTTTGACGCAATGATAAATCAACTACTTATGGAGAGCAGAATGATCCACAGAGCGGCTGACAGAGACCGTAGATTTAAAGAATCCAGGAAGCAGGTGAGACTCCCCAATCGAAACTTTAAAAAGATCAATCCTATGCTAACATAGTCCCCAGGATCTCACACTGATTTTAAGTTTATTATGTGTGTCTTTGCTTCCTCACATCACATATACTGTATATTGTATTAAATATTTATCTTATTATTCAATTATTTTAAACTTTACTAGATTGTTAACTGGAGATGAAAACACTTCCAGCTGAGAGAAATAAAGTTAAATACCTGGGTAGTGACACCACCTCTGCATCTCTCCGGTCTGCAACAGCCAGTCATCATGTTTTCTGCACCTGATCTCAGTAGTCAGGGGTTCCTCCACTTCCATTGTTATTTTTTCAACTTACATAAACTCAGTAGTCACATACAAGTTATTTGAAAGTATATTGTCCACAATGGCAATTTCCTCTGGAATGCCCTTTGTGTTTATTACATTCCCCTCCCCCCTTTACGGCTCTCTCTGAGGGCAAATTTCACCTTAAAGAGACTAATATAAATAGCCATCTTGCACTTGCAGGCTGTAAATAAACCGCACGTGAACCTGGAGATGTTTATGCATGAGCCCTGGCTGGAGGTCCATTGTCTCCGTGCAGGGACCAGCTGTGGATCTGTTGAGAGATGAAAAGCTTGTGGTCCTCCCTTTGTGGCGGCGCCTGTCATTAGCCGCAGACGGCCTGAGGCCGGGTCCCCCGCTGTCCACCGGCCCCCCGCCCACCTCACACAAAGACATACCTCCAGTAGGAAACTTGTGCTTGGCGCCTTGACGTGCCAATTACAATCATCATCTTTGCTTTGCTTTAATCTGTCGTGACAGGATGGCTCACCCTCTTTCCTGTGGGTTTTTTTAATGACTTTTCCTGTTTGAGTCAAAATATACTTGAATTAACTCAACCAAGAGACCGAACTCTAAGATTATGGTGTATAATCGACTACACTACTCCACTACCATACATTTTATTTACAATTTTTGTAATGTTTAGTCACTTTTGGCACTAATTATATTTATGAATACAAACACACATAGAAACAAATTCAATTTGGCTCTCAATTATTTATTTCTAAAGTTGTTTGTGCACCTGATTGCACAACAGCTCTGTCTGATTTGACCATGTTCTATTTATCCACAAGTTGGTCCACAGGCACTATACGCCTCTCTTTTTACCACTTTGGCCAGATTTGTGATAGATCTACATTACTAATATCACATATAGCCCTCTGTAGCTGCACAGAACCTGTAATTACCTATGTAGAGCATGTGCGCTGGCAGACCTCAACACTCGGTGGTGAGTTTCAGATTCAGAGCAGAAATGTCAGATCATTGCATGATTTTGTTCAAAATTTGCCCTCCAGCACATTAAGATATAACTTTGTGGACTTGTGAACAAGATTAACAGGGAGTGAAACATGATAAAACATTGTTGATTAGCTACTAAAACAACAAATGAATGATTTTGCCATGCGTTGATGTTATGAAAAAGTCTAGTTTTCACATATATTTCACAAAAAACGAAGTTGGAGCTCCATTTTACTTCCTGTTTTTTATAACACATTTCATGCAAAAAATTCAGTAGATAACACGACACTCACTTTGAATACTCGTGTTTGTTGGATACATTCATAAAATGTGTTTGACCACTAACGATAAATGAGACGTATTTACATTTTCTCACATCTTACATCAACCGTGGCGTCCATGCCTGTCACGCTTTACTGGAACAGGTCACTTCCTCTTAGGACTGCTTTTCATATCATTTCAACTATCTGGTTGAAATGATTGCCAAGAACAATATGATTATTCTTGATTGATGCAAATCAAGAACATTGATCCTACATAAGGAGAACAAGCAAAGTCCACAAAGCTCCCCCAGGGACCCTCCATCTGTGAGCCAATGGTTTAAACCACCACACCCCCATTTTAACCACATATGCAAAATGATTCCTCATCTATGAGTGGGGGGAAAAATCTTATTTTTTTAAAACAGGTAAAGTGAAAGTCATGTGGTAAATGTGCTAGAAATGACAGTTTTATGGCCATTGTGCTCCAATTTGTGTGCTATACTGATTTTTTCGACAATAATACTACATACATTTATACACAAAATCAAAGTTTACTAACTCTGTGATGATGCCAAGGACCTCAGTTCCCCAAAATGTGTGAACACAGTCTACCGACATAAGATTTAACAATGTTACAATGAGGATCATTTCCAACATTGGCCTAATCCCACAAGAGTTGACCTGCGTTTTAAGACACTATCCTCTTTGTTTTGTTTGTTTTTTTTTCCCTCCACAAAGGAGGCTTCTCTCCAGCTCCTGGTGTCCGCTTTGAGTCCGGGCAGTCGGGCTTTTGTCTCGGCAGGTAAGTTGACCAGAGTGGGCGCATCTCCACAGTAGTGTTACGTTTCAGTGGCCCGTCCGTCTGAGTAAATGTTTGTGCACGCGCGGGCGCGCGTGAGGGGCGGGGCGGGGCGGGGCGTGTGCGCAAGCGCACGGCGGTTGGGGAGAAGTCTGGCCAACGGCCGCCAGACGTTTGGAGAAACAAGAGAGACTCACGGTGGGAAACGGGCGGCCGGACCAACGCGTATGGATTTACCTCTCTTTTCCGCCACTCCGGGGTCCACTCAAGGCTGACGAAGGGTGGCCGGAACCAAGTGAGTTTAACCCGGGCTAAGACGGCTAAGTTTGTTTTCCAGAAAGGAAGTCGGTGCCTGTTGACCAACTTGTCTTAAAGCTCCCTCACGGAAACAAGTGAACCGGCCGGGTTCTTAAAGTTACACCCGGAGAAAGAGAGTCGTTCAAATGTCACGGAAAACTCCTTATAGGAAACCCGAAAGAAGATACTAAATGGTTAGACTTTGTCCGGTTTGAGGGGAAGTGGTTAAATTGTCATTTTTAAAAACCTCCCATGTCACCAGATGTAATTCTAACCTGAGTTCAGGTTTGTCTAAAATGAATTAGTTTGTCTCAGACTAAGCTTACACCACCTCCATCTGATTATTTTAGTAGGAGGTTTAAGTGTTTTCAGATATAAACGACGTGTTTGGGGAGGTGAAGGAGGCTGGGAGTTTCAGGTTTTTGTAACAGGATGTTCCACAATTACCGGATTTTTTTTTTCCTTCGTCTGACAGGCTCGTCTTAAACAGCTTCAGAAGACAAATCCTTTGAGAAAACAGTCCATTAGTGGCAGCCCCGGTTTGTGTAAACACAAAAATGACTTATACCCACAAATATTGAGCATTTTAAAGGAGATAACTAATCCCGAGTAGCAGATGTTTATTTCTAAGCCTCATTCCAACCTGAACCAAAGTCAATAAGCTACTGTTTGGGAATAAATGGGCTTTTCTTCCCTCCCTTGTCTCCTATTCCTCATGATCTCTCAGCATTTTGGTTTCTGATCGCCACAGCCACATTTTTCCAGACTTTCCGTGTGTGTCAGCTCGGAGTCATTGCATTTCAAGACCACACATTTACAGAACAAGTGCTGCTTATTTTAAGCCTCTGTCAAATGAAAATGAGGCAAATCATGATCAGACATCAGCCCCGGGCGCCAGACTTCTGAAAGCAGCCCACTCACGTCGGGCCATGGTGGTTTTTCTATGCTTAGTAATAAAGATAACTTGAATTTATTTTGTTTTCAAGCTTCTGCTCTGGGGTTTTTTGTTGTTGTTGCATTTGTGCATGAAAGCTGGTAGCCATAACCCCGCTCTATTTTCCTCATACTTTACTGGGTCCAGTCCACCTTCATGCACGCGTTGCACGATGCTGGAAAGAGTCTGAGAATAGTGCAGGGAAAATGACTGTTAAGATCCAGATTCATATGTTAACTTTTCTACTACTTTTCTGTTTGTAGAACTGTAAAGTTTGAAGTCTTTTTAAAATAACAGGGACTCACCGTTCATATCCAAAGCAATTAAAGCCTTCTAAAGATAATTATTTTCATAAAAAGCTTTAAAATGCTAGACATTATTTTTAGAATGCTTAATTTTGGATTTCTAATATGAAGTGGGTGTAAACGTGACATGAACAAAGGTGAGAATAACCTATTCTGTGTGTTTATTTTGGTATCCAAAGCGACCAGAATAAAACTCAAGACATCTGTTGGTGCTTTTGGTGCTGAGAGGTCTGAAAATATGTCGTTCACAGAGATGCTGCGGTGCGTCACACAGCGGGTTCGTCCCACAGACATTTCAGCCTTCACTCCCTGTTTGAGAGCGATTCAAGGGAAATGGTTAAGAAATTGTGTTGACGGTTTTTACTGTCCTGGGCTGGTTTAACTCATGACTCATGATGGGATTTGGTCCAAGCCGGCCATGGACATTTCGTTAGGCTCCAACTTGAGAAAAAAAGGATGGCGTGTCTTATAACGAGTGTCCGTTTGACAGTGAGTGAAGCCACAGCTTTGGCCGAACCATAAATGTTCATATGGATCCGATTCTGAACATTTCAAATTACCAAACTGGTTGAATATCCTTTAAAGCTGTTTGTGGACTCCAGAGCTGTATCGCCTATTTTGAAAGTTTAGACACACAAAAAACAAAACAAAGGAGATTAGTTGAACTCCAAAATAAAAATGAGAAAAGAGTAAATGGGGCACAGAAGTCTCTGCAGACGTCTCTGAGCTCCTGTTCAGAGGACTTGAAGGACATGGACTTAGATAGAACTGCACTATTTTCACTGTCAGAGGACAGAAAGGTTTCATTTATATTCAATCGTGTTACATTTATGTCACTGATTCGCCCTGAATTTTCTTTATTAATGGTCTAGCTGTGGATTAATGGGACAAAATGACAGTGGATACAAAAACAGAGCAAGTCATAGCTTTGTTGTTTGTTTTTTTATATAAGATGTCGAGAAGCACAATTTGATTATATTTCTGGTTCTTTATGCGTACGTTGCAAATGTCCTCAAGCTCCCTGAGGCTTTGTTTGTTCGTATACATGGCTTTAATCATGATTTTCTCATTCAGTACAGTGGAACTAGTTGACCACCCCTTGCAGAAATGTAAAAGTTTTTTTAGTTGGGAACTAAAAATGAATCCATTGATCATGAGAGTGTTTTTCCTACGTTCTGATCAGAGCTGCTCTCGGTTTGGAGTCTCCTCTGACAGACCTGTCAGTTCGTTTTGGTGTTAACAGACTCAAAGTGAACCTAATTGCTCTGATCTGAGGCACTTTGTCGTGATGATAAAATCTGGGATGTGACTTTTGTACAGGATGTGTTCTCCACCCAGTCCTGTTATTATCTGGCCTTATCTCATCGTTCAGTGCATCTCCACATTTCCAAGCTTGACAGTTGCTGCGAAGAGCTTCAGTAATCTACTTAATCTAGTGCCATTTCCTAGAGCAAGCACTCGAAAGGATAGTTCGTTATCTAATACGTGATGTTTTTGTCCTTTTTGTCTTCTTTATAACAGTAACAGACCTGAATCAATCTGGATTAACCAGCCCAGTAATAAGAAAACAAAGGAGACCAGTTGGCTAATTTTACCATTTCCTTTTTCTCTAATTCATTCTGCATTTATTTATGTTTCTCTATCTTAATTTCTTTCTGAACTGCCACAGAAGAGAGCAACTTTTGTTAACTGCAGAAAAAGAAAAGAGAAATGTAGCCTTTCACCAGCCGCCCTGCTGTAAATGCTTGGCCCTCGTCAGAAACTCTAATCGGTTGATCTGCAGCTCTCAGCAACGGGCAAAGTCCCCTTTTGGTTTACCACAGCAGACTCTGCAGAGCGAGCGCAGCTTTGGGCTCCATTTTGACCAAATGAGCAGTGAGATTAGCCTCTTTCTCCTCAGTCTCTCCAGTCGTCTTCTCCTTTCGAGGTTATTCGTTAAATGGGAGATGTGGTGATACCCTGGGGGGGGGCAGCTAATTATGGGGGCTCTCATTAGGGCTGTACTGAAACCACCCTCCCGTTAACAGATATCTGTGCCGCCCCGTTTAGACACATTGTCATGTGCTAGTGTCACGTGTTACCTCAGGGAGCACCTTGAATACTGCGTGGTCGTATATTATCAGTTGTTGCTACTTTTTGTCTTTTGTGGACAAAAGAAACATTTCACAAAAAATTCTGGATGACATCCACATTACTTTTTGGGAGCTATTAATGAAATGAACGAATGAAACTTGTTTCCACTTTGATTACTTGCCCATCATTGGTAGTTTGGAAGCATCACATCAGTTCTGGTAATTTAGAGTTATTTATTTGTTTTTTTTATGTTATCTGGAATGAGGACAGTTTTAACCTCAGTGTTGATCTTTTTCCTTTTTCATCTCCCTCCACTTCGACAAGCTGATTTTAAGCTCTGAGATAAGTTCTATACACAGTGTGACTTTGAAAGACTTTTGAAAAGTTTCTTTTTAGTGAGGTGAGCTAAAGCTGTGCAGAAGCTGTTGGCCTGCAGCCTGATGACAGCCCTCTCTGTTTAGCTAGCGTTGAGCAGCAGGATGTGAAATGCAGTGATACTCTGAGAATGAGAGTTTCATTGCATCTCCATTCGAAGCCTCTCAGCCAGTTTATGTGCTAGTACGACTGGATGTACCTTAACCCATAGGTGCCCTGCTATCACCCTAAAGGAAATTATAACGGCATTATAAAACAGACCGAATGGGTTCCAAAGATCACATTTACAATACCTCCACCAGGTTAAAGGAGCCTGATGTGTGTGTGTTGTCCATGTTTTATTTAAATCTAACATTTGTAGTGCCCGTCATAAATATGGTGATAAATCTTCAATCCATACTTTCCATATTTATAACAAGTGTGTTACAGTAACAAACGGCCTTCAGTGAAGCTCCGAATGGCAAAGCAAACCGGAGCCGAACCTCATTCAAGACACGTTTAGAGAAGTGAGACATGTTTCCTCTGAACTCCAGCACACTGCGGTAAAACGGAGTCAGGAAATGATGTCGGTGTCAGGAGGTGATGGCCCTCAAGCCACAACGATGAGCAGACACTTATCCACCTCTCTCACGATTGTGTGTCCCTTTGGCTTAAAATAAAGGCCGGAGTTTGTTCTTCCGCAGGTGAAAACCGCTGTCGGGCGTTGATGATTTTACTGGACGAGCTTTAGTTTTGCCCCTGCTGCGTCCTCAGAACAGAAAGCTGCTTGAGGCTATTGTTTGCCTACGTTGCCTTTTGTTTGCATTGTAAAACACTGTAAAAGAAGAACAATTTAATCTTCTTTTCTTTTGGATTAGGTTTGTTGTCTTTTAGTTCATTTAACAATTTGCTGACTCACAGTTTAAAGCTTTTTTTTTTAACCTAATTGATGATGACTATTGTTAAAGATTTTGGCTTCTCATAACTGGAAACTTCAACCTCTAACAAGAAAGGATGGGATCCAACATCCGTCTGCTTGCCTCCACTGAATCCTGATGTTGTAGCTTGCAGGGTCCATCTTCAGAATCAGCCACTTAAAGTTATTTCTCATTTCAGTTTGACTCATTTGCTTCTTACACTACCAGAACAAGTGGAAAGGAAATGCATCTTGTCGGGGGACTAACCCTGGAACCAGAAACATTCAAAAAGTGCAAACGGACTGTAAAATTAGAAGAAACGGTGTGACACAAATACGAGCGAGAAGCCACAGGAGAGAGCGGCCTGTAAAAATTAGGCCTGAACTACACGTGTTTCCTCTCCATCTTGGCCTGA